ACTGTGTTTTCACCCCAAAAATCAGGGGCTTATATGCTGAAAAAAGGGGCGGGGGAACATGGTACCTGCAGGGTGTCCCAGCAGCTGGGTGTTGGACCCAGAAAAATACCAGCACCTGGTGTTTTTCGGAACAGAGAATTTGAGAGGTTTGAAAAAATGTTTTTCCCGAAAACCGGGTGTTTTGGTAATTTGCAGGGATTTTTACAAGGCTGCACATGGTTGTTGGGATTGAGACAAATTGTTTTTAGGTGACAAGAGGGAGATGTTTTCACAGTAGACAAAATCAAGGACTAGACGCGAAAAAAGAAGTTAACGTATTGAACGTCAGGAGATACGAGCAGACGACCAGCAGCTGGTGAAGTCTGGTCTCACTTTCAAGACACTTGATCTTCTCGACAAATGGTTGGGATGGGGGTTATTTGGTGCTCGGGCAAGTCGTTGGCCCCAAAGATGGGTTTGTATTTATTATCGGCAATTTTTTGTAGGGCTGTGACACTTTGGTTTTACGGCCCTGTTGGAGGGATAATTTGCTGTTTACAGGCGCGTCCCAGGACGCGCCAATTAACAAAGACTCGTAATTTCTGAACTTCCTCTGTTTTCAGAAAAAATTCCGCACACACACTTTGAAAAACTTTTGAGCCAATTTTTGAACGTAGGTCAGAACATTTTGAATACAGTATTCATTTGCACTTTTCGGTTTCAATGCCATTTCTTTTCATCCACGTCACAGGATAGCTTCAGTAATAAAAGTACATGGTGCAGTAGTAAGGATAGTGTGGGAAAAAATTTAAATCAACTCTACGTATGGAGCATATTCATACATTATTTTGAATGATCTAAAATTTACTGCATACTCAATTATAACCACTCTACATGTTCTTAAACCTTGTGGCTCATATTGTAAAAATAAATACAATACGGCACGGTACTTCCTCGATCATTTTTCCGAACTCTGTTTTTTAAACATCATGAAACTTTGAATTCGTTCAGAAATCTCCACTCCCTCTGTTTTATATCAGGTCTTTTAGGCTAAGAAAGTGATGTTCAAAATTACGTTCCCGATTCTTGGACGAAAATGTCTACAATTCATCGGAATATTATCAACTTCTTCGCTCAAATGTTCGACATCAATTTCCACGGACTCGGGGTTTTTTTTCTTTTTGGTGTGCTATAATTTTTTAGGAAACGATCACCAGACCCAGAAACGCGCAGATGAATAGTAATGACTAATATCCAGACCCGGTTGTGTCAAAAATAGATTCCTTAACGATGCTTTCTATCGTTCGTGTGCGCTAGAAACGTTGTGATCCTTGTAATGAGTACTAGGATAACGATAGAAAGAAAATTTGCGGTACGACACGCTCGAGATGAAGGATGTTATGCGAAAAACGTACGGGTTGTACGCGAGAAGGAAATATTTTACAAATGAACTGCTCCGAGTCTCTCTGTTATCCTTCAGAATATAATTTATCTATCATTAATAGGTTATTGACACGAGAGTCTGGCCGTGAAAGAGACCAAGATTCATGGAACAATTCGCGAAAACCTTTGCAGGAGTGGGACCCCGATTTACGAAAGACCCCCGTACAAGGAAAACTGCGCAAAAGGAAATATTTTGGATGAAGAGATTGACCCAAATAACGAAATCGTTAATTTCACGAGAGTAACTTTTTGGCCAAAAAATGAATGTACTCCAGCTAGTTTTGAACTTTAACTTCAGAATTTTCCAAAACATTGAAAATTTTTAAAAAGAGCAACATAGCTCTATACCTATTTCTTACCAATGATGAAAGAATTTCAAAAAGGGTTGTAATAACGCATACGTTTTGTGATAACTGCAATGTCAGATTTATTTTTTTATTCGTTGAAAATTTTTGCTGAAAATTTGGAAAAACCCAGTTTGGAAGGTGTAATACAGTATATGACCTTTTTGCGAATGCTGGAAAGGAAGTTAATTTTTTTAATTGCATATTAAGGGAAGCGATGTTTCACATTCAAAAAATTACGTGACCAAACGCATCCATCAGGAACAGATGAATTTCGTTAAGCAGCAGGGATACCCACTCTATATACTGAGTTAATAATGAAGCAATGAGTGCACAGCATGTGACCTGAGGAGGATGAGGCACAAAAGGTCAAATTTACGGCAACAAAAAGCTTCAGGCCGAAAATCTGTAAACAAAAAACTATTTTTGCAAATACGTGCCGAATGTTGTTCTATTAAATTTTTTTGTGCGATGTACTCTATTTCTAATTTTTATGAATAATTTTTTTGGCATAAATCTTGACGTTCTTAGAAAAGAATTAATGATTTAATGCTTGGTTTTTATGGGTATTTTGAAGGAATATTTGTCATACCGTGCATGGAGAACATTTCTCTCTATCTCCCTTATTTTGACAGTGACACATATATTCTGAAGAAAACATAAATTTTACAAGATTTTTTGTCTCGAATGCGTGCTTATACATGCATGACTAGGTCAAATAATTCATCATCCCACGCAGTTTCACATATTCTTTGCTGGGTTTTAAATCAATCAGAATGTCTAAACGAGCAATAAATAATTTCAGTAGCATTCGTAAAAGATTTATGGTGGCATCATTCTTGCCAAATTTAAAATACGCTAATCTAAAAGCTTGATGGTTCTCATGTTCTTTTGTTTGAACTGCTGTGTATTTCCGATTAGACTCATGTTTATTTTCCGTTCGACCTTTTTCAAAAGCGTGGGAAAAAAATCTTCTTCAAATGCAGTGAGAAGTTTATCATACCATCAAGTGCCCTTATAAAGCAAATTCATTATATTTGTGATTTAGATATCATCAAAGTACGTCATTCAAGTTGGGAAACTTTGGATTCTTGCTTACGATGTCTCCATACACAGGAATTTTTTTCGATCATAAATCAGGACTTTGAGAACATATCCAGAATCATGCTTTTGAAAGAAGTATGCTTTTTTGCGCTTTTCTTGTAACTGAAATGAAATCTGAAAGTAAAACAGATATAGCTAATCTCTTCTGAGTCAAGGAAAGATGTCAGTCTTGAAACGTGCGCAAATTTTGCTCAAAGTCTGGAAGAANAAAAAATGTGGGGCATTCAGCGCAGAATATTGAAGTTTGGATTTTTAAATGTATGAAATGATATTGAGAATAGAACAAAAATTAAATTTCAGGGTTTGGATGGGAATTTAAAATTAAAATACTGTATACTACCTTTTCTCCTCCCGACGATCAAATGAGAATTAAAAAACACATTTGGAAATTTTCGAACACATGTACGAACTCAGCAACTGATGGAATGACGAACCAGCACATTTTTTTGCCAGTCATTTTTATTAAGAGTCCAATTTTAGTGACCATCGGGTGGATTGTTTACCTGATTTAAAATATTCAATTTGCACGTGCTGCCATCTACCGGAAGTCAAGTTTTAAGTTATATTGTAGTTTATCGACACCTCGCCTCAATTTGAACTGTCAATTGCTCAAGTTCGGAATAATTCGGATTGTAAATTTTGAATGTGTGTTCATTGTATTTTTCATAATGATAAGCCCTATTTCATGGCGTCAAATAATTGAACCTTTCAGTCTTTTCACCAGTTCGAATCCAATGCCAAAAATCCGGAATGCTGGTCATGCAATTTTTAAAACATAGAAATTATAGGTGGACTCCCTCTCTCTTTCTCACTATAAAGAAATTCAAGGAACTAGACAAAACTGGTTGTAGAGAGAATTTCGTTGCAGAGAGGAGCCGAAAATTCAAGGAACCACACAAAATTCGTTGCAGAGAGAATTTCGCTGTAGAGAAGCTCTATAACTTCGGAGAGAACCCTTTGCCCCCAGTGGAAAAAAAATTATGCAGAGGAAATCTTTGCAGAGAGAGATTGTCAACCATCATTAATATCAGAAAATTCCGTCTCTCGATATTCACCACATGAGGACTGCACAAAACCAACACCAACAACAAAACTTGTGATTCAGCCCCCGTCGTATATAGCCCAGATGCTTTTCATGATCAAAAGAAAAGAATTGAAACAAATACAGGGAAGTGCTGCGTACTGTTATCAGCAGCGTCCAGTTTTATTTCGTAACTCAGTTTTATTTTCTTCTCTTGGTATTTTTTTTTTCTGCATGCATTTGCCAGTGGCAGCCCGAGATCCGAGCGCATTGTCCGACTACGCCGATATTGCTGTGCGGTTGCGGGAGCGACTTGAGGAACGATATAGAGACGATATCGAACCTGGCCCGGGAACAAAAGATTCCCGTCACCTCGGAACAGGTGTGTGTGTGGTATTTTCCGTTCCTTTGATCAAATCTTTCAACACACAAAAGCAGGAAGAACAGTGTATACTGTATGGAAACAGACACGTTGTTTCTGGTCTTAATTAGGCCGACGTCAGATGGGTTCCCATTGCCCTCGTATATATATGCCATGTCTCGTCAATCGATTCACGTCCGACGCAAACGACTACATAATAAACCATTTTCGCGAGGCACTGAAGAAGACGCGTGAGATCTCGAGAAAAGACACTTTGGAATGACACCTGAGCCTCAATAGCAGACAAAGTGGGATTTTAATGACGAAATATTTCTCTCAATAAGTAAAGTATGACACTCGAACCTGATGATTTCTAGGAGTGCTGATATATACAGCGCGAGAGTGACGACAGATAATTGATTTTGTGTCTCGAAGTCACACGAAAGAGTGAACGACGAAAAACGTTATCTATTCAAAAGAAGCGGAATCTATTAAACCTATAAACCACCCAAGATATTATGCATTTTTAAAAATATCGAAATTAATTTATACTCGACTGAATTTTTGCGTGATGCAAATGTCAAGCCCACGCACTTGAAACAAAAAATGAAGCTGTAGAAAAACTTTAGGTTTTCAGCTTTCCATTCAGGGTTGAAGAGGTTCGGATAAAGAGTCCTTGAAGGACTCACTGTCAGCCAGCAAAAAAAAATAATTTTTCATTGCTTAGACTGATATTTCTGGAATTTCTGAAGATTTATACAGTATTTCAAAATCTTTGCACGACTCTTGTGACACAGGATGCTAGAGATAAGATATCGATTTTGATGGCGGCAGCTTTTATAGAGGAACATAATTCTGCTTTTCTTCAGCATTTAATTATTCTTAGAATAATACTAATTTAGGGAATAATTCGATGAAAGCAGATAAATATTTTCATCGTGACAGAATTTTCAAGCCAAAACCGATACCCCGGTGTCGAAATTCAAAAGTAAGCAAATACAACTAGAAAAATATACGCTAATATACGGTACTAACACATTCCTCACTATTAATTGTCTCGAAAGAATCAAACGAATCAATTTGACAGCGTGCGAGAAATTTCACCAAAATTAAAGAAATGCATATTAAAGTAACCTCAATGAGCTTCATGAAGAAAATTGAGATCAGGAAAATTGCAATACCGATTTTACGTATTTCTCCAAAATTTTACACAAGTAAATCACCAATATATTTTAATATTAATTAAATGCTAATGAATATTGCTTGTAACACAAAATGTCGACATCAAGAATAATTTGGGAATTCTTATCGAGATTTTAACGAAAATATCGCGCTAAAATTTCATTACTCACTAGACGAACGAATCAGAGACGAAGTAATGGGTAATTTACACTACAATAAAGAATGAGTTCAGTTCAAAATGGGGAACAAATCCACGAATCTCTGCAAGAATGCAGATTTTTCCTAATTCATTCCTCTAAACTCACTTTTTATTGTTTAATTTTTCCGAATTCTCGAAGAAATAGTTGATATCCTTCGGCAAAAAATAACGGGTACACTGCAAAATGAAGAAATACATTATGAATGTCTAAGAGAATTAAGGGTGTTGTTAGAATGCATTTTAATTTTCCAGATACCGTGTATATGAATCTGATTTCCCCCCTCCGCAACGAGTGATTCCATGACATGAACTTATTCTGGAAATTCTGAGGAAATGGGAAATCCTCTCCTTCGAACATTCTCCCGATTTTCAACTTTTGCGCACTTGTGAAATTCCAAATAATTTCATGCTGACACCTCGCACAGCTCATCAAAGTTTTATAGAATCCATTGCATTGAAGAGAATTATGAAAAAAACCAACCTTCGATTTAATTGTTCCTTGGAAAAATCAAGAAAGTCGCGCAAGTTGGCCTGCTTGTTGAATTATTCGTCTTCGTTTTATGCATAAGTGCTATTCAATTTTCTGCTGAACTTCGACTTGAAATATGTACAGGAATTCCGGTAACAGTAATGTAATAATAAAAGAAAGATCGACCGATAAGTGCAGTATCACGTACTGAAAAACTTTTAATCCGCTAATGCGATAAATTATCAATGTCAAAACCAAGGAAGATAAAAAACTACACGGTAAATCGGTATTCATGTGAATAAAAATGTTGACAATTTGAAAAAAAATAGTGGATAAAAAGCTTTTAGAATTAATCTGTCTCGGGAACTGCAAAATGGGTGATGGTGTGTGCACCAAACAAAATTTGGCTTCAAATGGGTTCTTCATGTTTCCGAAGTGCTGAAGCTGAATACGGTGATTCGAAATTGAAGTTTTTGTTTAATTAAAGATTAAACATTTCCACAAAACTTCCTGCTCGGAATTCTAATTTTCTACTGCTTAGTTTTTCGCGGCGAAAAATTAAAGTCATCAAATGCGCCTGTTGAATAATTACATTCAAATAAATCATGACCCTGAATTCGAAACGTGTTTTGAAATAGAACCCAGCATGATCCACGATCGGAACCTTCTTAATGCGACAACTTGAACCGTAAAGATATAATGGGTTGAATATGAATACTGTATAATATTTTTTCCTTTGGATCCTATTTAAATTCTCTACATAAAAAGTTTTAAAATTATTAAATATGGCCGATGATGCGTTGCACAACGAAGGAAACTGTGTCATCAGGTTATACAGCATTTTATCTTCTTAATCTGCTGCGAAAAAAAACATGGGTATAAGCAAAAAAATTTATTAGCCCTGTAAAAGAGTTGCAGCAGTTATTTGATGATCACCGTCGGAAATTTGTATTAGCTGTTCGCTGCATGACGACGCTTATACGAATCATTTGTCTAAACTAGAAAAAAGGACAAAAACTTCAAGTTTTCCATAAAAAAAAAGAGTAGACAAGTGATAATATTGACCAAGCTGACGCAGAGATTTTTGGCCAACTTCCGACAGAAATGACGACGCAGTTCTGCGAAAAAAAAAGATTATTTATATTTCACGCGTCGGGAATGGATTTTTGGCTCTTCTGCTTCCTCTTTCCGATTTTCCTCGTCTCTGGACATAAGAGTTCCAGTATTTTCTATCTGAAAGCAAACAAAAAACAAACAAAAAATCCCGATCGTTCGAACATGTAATACTGGCTTTAGTGGCCCTCGGGGGCAAATTTTCTCCTCCGACCGTTTATTCTCTCGCCTTTTTTTCCGGCTTGAATGATAAAACATTTCAGCAGCCGGAAATGCCCCGAAGGAATAGCAAAAAATAAAGTAGCTCATTTCTTTTCCTTTGGAATCTTGCAGGAATTTATTTTATTTGATCACGAAGTTACCTACTCGGGGTCGAATCGCTTGAGCATATTCTGGGATTTTTATAGATACTGTCAGTATTTTCCAGTTACTGTTCATTTGATCTTTGATATCAATTACTGTGATTCGAAAAAAAACTGAACCCCGGAAACCGAACGTAAAAGAAAATGAAATGAAATATAAATTACTGTATAGAAATTCGGAAAACTCAAGCACGTAACAAAAACAATTTCATGAAAATTCTGATTTTATTTGACAAAGAATGAAAGAGAATGTCACATCGTTAACTCATTGGGTAGTGTTTGAAAGGCCAGTCTTATTTTTTCTGATAACTAAATTTTCAATGAAATATTTTGATGTTTTATGCACGTGGCATACTTCATTATTCTCGTGTCCGATATTTTGAACAACCTCTGCCCAACTACTGATTGACATTATTGGCGTCGGTAGTTTTTCTTTCCTTTTCTTGTACATCTTGAGTTAAAGATTATTTATCGAAAATCAAGAACAAATGCATATGAAGCTATCCTCATCCGGTACAACTTTCCCACGTCAAGCTAATCCTACAAAGTTTAAAAATTACTTTGAGTAACATGCTGAGTAGGGTACTTATAAATCACAATTGCCTAAAAAATGATGTGCAATTGCAGATGAGCAATACTTTTATAACAATTTACGGTCCTCTATTTGACAGATACTGTATTTATTTTTTTGCATTTTCAGTCAAGAGTAAGACAATTTTCCTGAATGTTTCCAAAGTTGGCCGATTTGCGAGGGATTTATTGCTGTTCATTTGCGATGGTGTAGAACTCTAGATGGATTTGTGGATATCTTTTCGTGATAAGATTGAATGTAAGACGCAGCAGATGTCCCAGAAATGTCCCGAGTTCCAATCTTGAGCATCTTGTTACGTCTGATTGCAGTAAAGCAGAAGAAAAAGAGAAATGCATCCAACTTTTGTTCCGATGCCATATCGCGGAAACTAAGTTTCACTCTGTGGATAAATCTTATATATATATATATACGAAGGACGCACGAGAAAATGCTGACGGATTTTTTTGTACACGCCGGATTTATTTTTTTTTTATATCTCGGTAGCAAGAATGAGAGCTAATATGAACAAAAGGTTCTCTTCGTCATCATTATCATCAGGGCAACCCGAAAAAAGAATTTATTTTCAATGAGAGCGAAATTGAAAGAGGGAAGAGGCGGAAAAGTCGATGCGAAAAGCGATCCTCGGCCACGAACCGCATGGCCCAACAAAAACTGCTGACACACGGCAGAAAATAAACGCACTCTACTTCGATTCCAGCACAGGATCGAATTTCTTCCTTATTCCCTCCTGGTTGTCACTTTTTTTCTATATACAGTGTGAAAAAAAAGTTTCTTCTCTGAAGGCTAAAAAGGAATTTAGTGCTCGCTGTTTTTTGTTCCCTGATGTAGACTTCGATTTTGTTCTAATCGATGGAACTTTCGTGTACGGTACGATGAAAACCGCCAGATTATCCGTGGACCGATGACCGATACATTCTTCCAGTGATGGAAGAATACGAACATTTAAACACGGTCTTTTAATCCTAAAAATGAACTGATATCTGATGTATAATGAAAAGAAGTGTCCTTTAAATGTATAAAAATTATCGATGCATGATTACAGCCTTAGGAAAAGTGAAAACGATTGCTGATGTTAGCATCAGGAAGCTCAGTTTTTTTCTTTAATTCAGTTAAATAAGAGAACCAAAAAAGTCGATCCAAGTTTCAAACCGCAATAATCAGAATTTTGCAAACACAAACGATTTTATGCATTTTGATTTTTCTTGTTAGGCATTTCAGAGGGAAAATCCATAAAGTGGGAAACAAATTTTCTCTCAAAATCAAACGCGAATTTCAGACATGAATGCTGCACTCATTTGCTTTAGCCATCGTAAAAAAAAGTTGTCGGAATATGAAAAAAAAATATGTGACGACTTGCCAAGAATATCAAAAACCTTTGGAATAATGCCGAAAGTTCATAAAACTAGGAAACCCCTCGCACAAACTACCTGACCTTCTTCAAGAAACCGCTTTTCTAATCTTTCTTTGGGCTATTTTGTTTCGAAAATGTGTGAGCTAGCGATTCTTTGATGCCAGACAAGCAGAAAAAAGAACATTTTCTTGAAATATTGAAGTATTTTACGTTATAACGCCTTTTCGTACATACATTATATGTTTCTTGATTTTTTAAATGTCCAAGAATTCTAGCAAAGATTTGCATCATTTTTGCATCAATCGAGAGGAATCTGCAGATCCTTCAAGACGAAAAATGATCCTGCTACATAATCTCTCCGCATCATGGAAAGCCGAAAAAAAACGAAACTCGTTTGCGCTGAAAGCCGGGAAATTTGACAGATTGAACAGGTCAAAATCATTCTGTGAAAAGCTTTCTCAGTCGAGGCATCGAAACCGTTAGCCAGTATATACAAGCAGTGAAAACAGTTTCAAACTTCTCAATTTTAAATCAACATGCATTGCAAATTTCCATAAAATAAAATGACGCTCAGTCTCGCAATCTAATTCTTCCAGCTTTCTTTTTTATTTCTCAGAGGACTATTATTCCACGTGTGTTTAACTTGAGGTATGCGATGTTGGCAAGGAAAAGGCAGTTATGAAGCACTCTGTGAAATTAAATTTGAGTTGGCACTTGCAGAAGGATGCCAGCTCTGAGCGGAAAAAAAATTTGGAAGCGTGCGAGAGATTTTTACCCGGCATTATTTGTCACTATGTTTAGAAGAAAAAAAATAAAGAAAATAAGTGCTTCGGTTAGATTCAGAAAAAAAATTTAAACCATTGGAAAACAAATCCTTTTAAACTTTGATAATTCTTAGATTTTGTCCTCGGTTGAGTGGGACTTGCAATTAAAACTTTAAAAGATGTTTCAGCTCTTATTCAAATAAACTCGTGAGCGTTTAAATCAAATTTCAATTTCGGAAAAATGAGAAAAAAAGATCAAGACTCAGTGAAAGGGCGCAATTTAATTCATTCCGATAATTTGAGGAAACCCCCAGAAAAGAAATTAAAAATGCATTTACTCTCCTGCGTTTCATATATAAGTGTATATAATGACTGAGCATTTGTAAGACAACCAAGTGGTTGCGGACGAAGAAAAGTTCGGACATCCACGCGCTATTCCAACGAAAGTAGAGCTCCTCGTAAAATAACAAGGAACAAAAAAATTAAACCAGAAAAAAGCAGAAGAACACCACATGTTCCACACAAGATGCTGACGTGACTAGGGAAAATTATGTAGCTCCAACCGCACAGACTTAATTACCGCTGCTTTGTGTCATTGTAAGAATACGGCACATGAGTGAATGAGACCCAAGAGCTGCGATCTTGTTTTGTTCTTCCGTGAGCTTGCGACAAATAGCAGCAGACAAAAAAATTGCAGAACTTTCCAGAGCCAGATGGAATTTTTGAACAATTTTAGAATTGACATTCGTCGGCGGAAACCATGTAGATTACTGTGCATATAAATATTTAGTGTACATATTTAGAGGTCTAAGAAACTTTCTTAGAATAAAAATTGAATTGGCATACGATTGAGTAGATGATGAAAATTATATTACAGAAACACAATTTTTTTGGCACACAAAGAAAATGCAACCCCGTTTTATACACAGTATTTTGCGGGAAATTTGCGCAAAAGTCCGCCTGGAAGCGTTCAGCTAATCTGCTCTTCATTCAAAAAATTAAGTGCATATCTCGCCATTTTTTTTAGCCCATCTTCTCCTTTAAAATTCTTAATATTGACACAGAATTAATTTCAAGGGCTGCCTCCAGGTCTTACCAGGTAATTTTGTCATTTTCATTACTAGCCACCACATTTTATCATCCCACGTGGCAGCTGAGATTTTTTCTGAGCAATAATTTTTTTCAGCTCAGTCATATGCTGTTATAATTTCAATTCCAAGAACATTGATTTGTTGGACCCTTTGTACAGGCAACCCAGTACTGTAATTGAATTGCAAAAGTATGGTATGTGCAACTTCAATTACTGTAATTACTCAAAAACCACACACCCATTTTTTTTCTCAAAATTGAGAGGAAAAGATGGAAAGCCCTTCATATAAGCATGGGTGTACATTTTTCAAAAAGTTGTGTTTAGGTATGCATTCTACTTGGTTCTCATGGAAAATTTTGGACCAATTTATCAGAAACACTTGTTTTTATAGAAGCAATTTAAAATCAGTTAAATCAGGCTTAATTTGTGACAAAGTTCCGATTTGGGCATTCTTATTTTTGAAATACAGTATTGTGATTTTAGAGTCACTAAAGAAGGCGTGTATGTCTTACTCTGGGATACAATTTAATCAGAAACTTTAGACTGAAAAACCTGGGGGTGTGTCTTACTCAAGGGCACATGGTACTGTACTAGGGTAAATACAGTATTTTTTTAGAATGTCTTCGACGTCTATAATACTGGTGGACTCCCTATTTCTCTACAACAAAATTATTCAAGGGACCAGAAAAAATGATTGTAGATAACCCCGATTATAATATGAGGAGAAGAACCCAATGGGACAAAAAAAATAGTTATACAGAGAAAATTTTTGTAGACAAGATTGTTGTCCAGAGAGTACTATGTACAGTACTGCATTTTTTCGTGACATCATGTGTCTTGCAGCATGCATCATCCCTGCAGCTTATGATGCTACCAAAATACTCGCAATTCTTTTTTTCCCCCTCCAAAAAGTGGCATATTTATGTACCAAGCATAAGCATGGGGTCGGATAATTAATCAAGAGATGGCTAACATTAGGCGGGGAACTGCTTTGCTCATTCGAGGGTGTGACGGATGCATCCTCTTTTCCACTGCCTATACGGACACAAAGAAACCCTCTGCTGCCTTTTGTCCTCATTACGGATCTGATAACTGATGAAGGATTTTCTCAAGGGTGAGAATGCATGATCACAGCTCACCGGGTCGTCTGCTCTGCCATGAATGCTAGGGCATGGCAGGTCATCTCGTGAGGGTCTCACGAAAGTGTCGGTAAATCTTGCTGGCTCCTTTTCGAATGTATATGGAGGACGGGCTGCTGCGTGATCAAGAGTTATCTTCCTTTTCTTGCTATGTTTCTTTTTTTTGTCATGACGATGCAGGTACCTGCTGCTGTTCTCTGTCGGAATAATTTGTCTGAAGAATAATATTTTCCATTATAACCATGCAAATTAAAAACACCTTACTCTTTGGGATATATTCAGTGAATAATTCACCTTGAATAATTTAATGCACAAACAGGAACACCTGATTTATATGGTGAAGTACAAGAACCGAATCGAAACATGTATAGAATCATTCGGAAACTTTTGAGTCGAAAAATAAAGATTTTGTATGTTTCGAATTTTGTTTTAGCCAATATAAGTGCATTTTTACTTGAAAATGCACGCATGTTCTATCTTTACAAAAGGGCTTGGTGGCATTTTTCAGGACTTTCTTAAAAATAAGACTTACATCAGCATAAAAAAAGAAAATTTTCGAAGAATACACCTTCTAAATAAATAAATACTGTAATTTGATTAATTAGAGCTGAAATTTCTGCAGTAGTGAAGGTAAATCTGAGCTTTAAATCTGGTGTATTAGGACAATATCTCTGAAAATTACGCAGGATTTTATCATGCATAGGAATGTTTTCACTTCAGGGAAGAATTGGAATAAATGAAGATAATTTGAATGTATAAGCGGCTCTCAGTGCGTTTTTGGAGGATCATTCTGTTATTAAGCCTCCGGTAAAAAAAAAACGTTTTTTTTATGAATACGACACAATATGAGGACTACGTCGGTTCTTTGCGAAGTCCTGTATACTAAAAACATAAATGTGCCAAAAATCTCTAGAAGAAAGACGTGAAAGCATTTATACGTGTTCGATTTTTTTCAATTTGAGCATTTATACAGGCTCTGGGACCAATTTTTTAAAACGAAGTTTTGGACAAACGGGTTTTGCTACAGTTTAGCTATTATATATTACATAATGTATTGGCATAATTATTAAAAAATTAATGCTAACATTTCCAAAAATCGTTCTTAAATTTTTTGGAAAACTCATACACTACGATTTCTCCAATGAGATGCTGCTTCAGAGGAATCATCAGGATTTGGCATAAACGGGAATCTTGATCGTTTGGAGGAATCTTTGGATACTTTCTTTTATCCATATGTGGCCTGAATAACTTAGTTATTTTCAGTCATTCTGTGGAAATCCGCCACTTCAGCCACTTAGTCAGATTCATGCAGTCAAGTACCTGCCAGTAAGATTTCACTATGAAGCAAGGAAGATGAAAAGCAAAACTGCTGAAATGGGAGAGGGGGAGAAAAATAATACAAATCTGCAGTAATCTTGATCAAAAGGCAAGATTTTTTATTGGAACAAAACTTCCATCTGCTGGAATAAAATCTCGTTTGAAATTTCCACGTCAATCCATAAATGTACAGTAAGAAACAATGGCATACAATAATATCTAAATTTTTAACAACCTCTGAAGCAATAATTTTCTTGAAAATTATTAGGAGAATAAAAATATATGTCTTATAAATACTGTGCAAATATTCATAAGACCAAAATACTGTATTGTGAAAAATTGAAATATTATGGGAAGGATCCTGATGAAAATGCGATTTATTATTGATGCCTTTGGGTCCAAATGTTTTAATACACTCGACTGAGTTATTCACAGCCGACAGCTGAGGCGTATTTACTGTACTGTAATTCTACCAAATATCTGGGAACGAAAAAAAATGCATCGCCATCTACATTTCTAATTATTTTCTTGGCATTCACAGAAAAAGCCATCAACACGTACCAGGAAATTTATTGAAGCACCCGCCATCCATCCCGGGCTTGATGAAATCTGGCACTGGCATTATTCCGTTACTGTTCTTTCTCGGTGTATCTCTGGATGTCTCTCTTGTCACGAATCAGAAGATTTTTCTTTGTTTTTCCCCCCACTCGGCATTTCCTCTTCATGTTCTGCTCTCGGCTCATGAACACTCCGAGCATATCTACCGTATATATACTGTATACAAGAGCAAAATACCCTGGGGGTTGAAGAAGAGAGCTGATCCGCAAAGACTCAGATATGCTACTCGAGGTCACAAGCAACTGAGGCCATAATACACACGTGACGTGACAACTCCAACGCGTCTCTTTCCAGAAGCCTTTATATTACCCCCCCCCCTTTTTTTCTTATCACATAAATTCATCTACCCCAGTTTTTTTTTTTCTATTTACATTTCGGATGCACTTCATTTAAGTATGCTTTAGTTTATACCAATGTTCCCAAACCATTTTGGGCCTGCAGGCCTCCAAAGTCCCAAAACATTTCTGCTGAGCAGCAAAGTTTTTCAGACTCAAAATAGTTTTGTTTGAAGGACTTCATGGCAGGTATTTGAAAGTTTCTGCTTTTTGCAAAAATTGACTCAAGCGTCAATGGAGGAGCTATCAAAGCTGAATGTCATCAACAAATTATGATGGTGGAAGGTTTCTCAGAATTAAAATTTTAAAATTATATATTTGAGCAAGTGAAATTTTTTCTGAATTGTTGTATTAAGGAACACGTCAAATTTTATTTGTTATCTGATAATTTCAACTGACATTGTCCTTCCGAAATGTTAGGTAAATATATATAACAGACTTCATTGCTACTTTTCATAAATTTATTATGCAGAAGATTTTCCGCGCACCTGCGAAAAACTTTCCGGGTTTGAGAACACTGTTTTATGCTACACAGTCCCTTTTCCCTGGCGGGAACATAAATGATTGTTGCTGATACTGTATACATTATTAAAAAAGCGAACCCGCTTTTCTATAGAAGGGTCACATGTACGAGTACATATATACAGCATGACAGTGGATTATTTGAATAATTCGTATGCGTTTATCATGGAAATGTGCGACTGAGTGCGATGGAGAACCTACGACGTGACATTTGCCATTGGCTCACCGTTTTGTCATCCTGACTTCAATCTGGGTTCAGGAGGTTTGGAAGGTCAGGAAATGTATATTTTACAAATACACAGTACTGCTGGGGTTATTGAGCTAAGAAAGTCGGAAAAGGATATTTTACCGTAGTTGAACAGCAGGAGTATCAAAAGCATCAGTCATTCGTGCATTCAAAAAAGCACGTTATTTTTAAACTCATTCTTTGCAACGATGTTGAGCAAAAAAGATAGTGTTAGTTAGTCGACCTCTTGCATTGATTTGAAATAAACAACTTTTGAAAAAATATTCGAAGGCTTCCTCTTGGCTGTTTTGAAGCATGACGCTTCCGACGAGTTGAAGTTTAAAAATACCTCTAAAAAAATTATTTTAAGTAAAAGAATTTAAAAAAATTTAAATTAAAAGTATTCAAAAATTTTCTTTGACGACTTTTACAGTAATTTTTACAATGATTGTACAGAATTCTATCTTGAATTTCATAAATTGGAAAAAAGGGAAACGACGGAATTTAGTCCACAGAATGGGGAAGCTCGTTCTATAGATTCACTTGGATGCATTTAGGCACACAATCAATCAAATTCATGATGATGGAGAAAAACTTGCTGATGACCTGAGGAGTATTGCACAAAACCATTTGTCTTTTCCACACGTACTGCATGAGGAACTCCATGTAATTAATTATTTCCGATTTGGGCAAGTTATCCTCATATTGAATAACGACTTCTTGCCTGTCCCATTGAAGGATGTTCTAGCAATAAAATAGCTGAAAATTAATTACGAATGCACGAAAAAGTATTGACGAAGCTTATGTTAAACGTGATTAGGTTACTGTATATTCGGTGTGGATTGTATGCTTTAAAAACGTATCCTCCGAATGATCTCTTTGCATTTGTATCCTCCGAATATTTTATTTGAATAAATCAATTAGACCAGATTCATTTTGGAAATTTTATCGGATCACTCAAATCAAGAGCATCTGGAAGAATATTTATTTTTTCATATTCAAGACTTTAATTCACAGTTCGAATCAAATTTCTCGCCCGAAACATTATACAGTACTATTGAAAATATTGAGTCACATAGACTCAATCTTAATTTTTGCTGAATTTTGAAAAGCGGATCCTCTGAAGGAAGTAATCGAGATAAATTATGATGCTTTCATTTCGGAAGATTCCTCGTCGTCAATTTTTAAACAAACCCTCATTTTTGACGATTTCCTTACAACAACAAAATCGACGAGCGTTTGCGTTGGATATCACTTTTTATCTTGATCGATTTAAAATTTTGGGGGTTACATTTTCGAAGTTCACCAGCAGGAAAAAAAATTTCATTCGTCATCTCATTTATTTGACTCTATATTTATTTTTTAAAAATTTGGGGAACTTTCTTCATTCTAATCAATTAATCCCAAATTCCGTCCTTTTCCGGCTTCAATCGCGTGAGACAATGAAAACCACTTGGCCGGATTTGAAATTTGAGAAAGTTTATCTTGGCCAAAGAAGTCAGAAAACTTTCCTCCCTCTGTCCCATAAATGCAATTTTTTGGTAAGCACGAATTCTATTTTTTAAATTTTCGATGTAAAGAATTGTTAATTAAAAGAAAATCGTGAACTTTTGTTTTAACCCTGCTTCAGATCCCGAATGAGCAAATCGCTCGCGGCAAAACAATTGAAACGTTTTCTAAAAATACTTTTCCCATTCGTCGTCGTATTGACGCAAGAGCCCGCGTTGCAGCGAGACACATCAGTGCTATCCACGTGGCAATTACTCGCGATCACGTGGATATACACGAAATATACAGGGGACAATGAATTCTGTACAGGAATGAGAAGATTCCAATAGAGAAAGAGGCCGAAAGCAACTATGTACGCAATGTATGACACACATCACACATTCGAAGCGAGCAACTGCGCTTCATCATCACAATGTTCATTTGACTGAGCTGAGACAATAATGTCGGGAGTCCAGTTTCCTCAACGGGGGATATCTTCGCAGGGTGCTTTCGGGGCAAGAGAAACCCGGATGAACCCGTCTCTCGAAGCAAATGCCTTGATTATACGGGACGCGGGGTTTCTCGCAATTCCCCAGCGCGGAGGGGAAAATGCGGAAATTTCAAACGAGAGTATTCTTCTCGAGAATTTCAAGGAGTATATTTTCCGAGGGCTAACGAGCCACTCTACCGCACAAAGATAAGGGCGACGAATCTTTTTTTTTAATAATGTCAGTCCAAATGTGCGACGCAGTGCTGCTGTGACATCCAAGTCAAACATTTTTTCTGCCCTCTTTTACGAAAAAAAAAATGCATTTTTGACACACACAAAAAATATTTGGTTCAAGATTTTGAGGATAATGCCTAATGCGCAGGGGATTCTGCTGGTGATGACTCGCAATCTCATTCAAAACCCCGGGAACTACTGAAAGCGTGAAATACTTTTTCTCGGGCATCCTGCAGATTATAAAGTGAATGAAATATGACAGCAAATGTTTCGCATACCGTTTTCCGTTCAAAGATTTCACTCAAACCATAAAAAACCAAGCTAGCACTTCGAGCTATTCGATTTCGAGAGAGGGCTGGATAATCTACTCATGTTTCGAATCTTAACAGAGGAATACACCATTTACAAGTCGACGCTTGAAAAATCTTTGCAATGTTGTCCCAACAAACGAATCCGGAATTCATCGTGAAATGTGTGCCAGGTATTTTCGAAGTACGTACTGTATACTATGCAACTGACGACGATGAGAAAAGGAAATGTTTCTGGACTGAATCAGTTGAATTTTGATAACTCGAACAATCCTTCCATCGAATTTCATTCTTTGCAAGGCCATGTCTGAATTTCTCAAGAAGTAATGAACAAAACAAAAACCATCCTTGACTAGAAAAAGGCTTTCCTCCTCAGAGCTCCAAACTCGCATTTTCTGGAGTTCTTTCGGCTATTATTTTATTGACACAAGGAGAGAATAGCAATAAAAATGCAACTTGAACGGAAGTGAAAGACTGACGAGGCAAGGTTGCATCCTTTCAACTCATTTAAGTAGCAATTAAAGGCCTCAAATATAATCAATTATGCATTTCCTGTAATTTATTCTTTCTGCCAACACAAATGTTTGTGTCCCTAACTCGAATTTTATTTGCTGGCCCCTTTAAGTTCGATTCAAAGATTTTCGACTGTAAATTGAAGCATTTGGAGATTGAGAAGAAAATCGTGTGAGAGTGAACTAACGATAATTATTGAACCCGTAAAATCCGTAATGAATTCAAGTCAAGGACATGCAATATTCGTAGTCACATTATATCGACTACGGAGATCAAACCTAAACCCCACGGACGATCCCGCACAGGTGAAGACAAATACACTCAGGATTACGTGATGCATGAATAACTTTGTACCCCCCTACACGAGGATTCAACTTTCACAATGCTGAAAACGTCATCTCGTAGCCCACACTGACGGGTACGTCATATCTTTAATCATCGCTCCATTGGGTTCTCGTTTCAGGCACTGAGAGTGAGCAGGAAGATAGAAGCCACCACGTACGTCGAGACCTCTGCCAAAACGGCAAGGTCAGTCAAGGACGCATTCGACGTCGCTGCACTCGCCGGGATGGGCAAGTTGAACAGCAAGTCATTCAGTCTCCGTCGATTCAGCCTCACTGGACAGAAGGTCATGCTCGACAAACGAACCAAAAGCAAACTCGAACTCAGCTATGACCTGAAATCTCGGACCCCGAAACACTGTTTACTCATGTAACCACACACGCGATAACGTCATAATCTAGTCACTTCATTGATAAGGGTCAGAAACTGATGAATTACCGGAGTTGATGCAAAAGATTTCCTAAAAATCTTGAAAGTAAAAAATAAAAAAACGTCAATGGAGGTATACAAAAACTGGTGTAGAATTCTGAGCAGATTATTCTTGATCTATGAAGGATCATCCTTTCATGAATCGAGATTAAATACGCAAATTGAATAATTAAGCGCTAGGTAAAGAGATACGACCAACACTTATTTGGACTTCGACCGGATGGGAACGTCTTTCATAGACTACCAATAATCTTAAAAAATCCCACATTTCCACAACATTGACAATGCCCCTCAAGGAACATTGCCAATTTCGTAATTACTGTCCATGTTTCGCCCAACCCATGCAACAAAATTGGCAAAATGAGCAGCTTAATTCATCGTTGAGTGGATTTTAAAATGTTCCCGCAAGAGACCATGGAGAGTAACGGCAATACAAAATCAGCGCACAAGTTGCTTGCTGTAAAAATTTGTTGTGGTACCTGCCACAAAATTGTTCGTTTTTCATCTTCAGCCGTAGGTATGGCATCGAATTTTATTTATAGATTGCTCCAGAGGATTTGATAGCTCGTGTTTGCCTCCGATGTTTTAAGAGTTACTCAAGACTTTCTTGAAACTCTCGTCTACAATTTGAATTTCTTGCTCAGATTCGGAAAAATTTATCAGGCCCATAAATTCTCGCCCAGATGACACATCCTACCCACATTGAAAAATCAGCGTCCCTTGAAAAAATTAAAATAAATCAATCAAATACACGTGCTCACAAAAATTATGCAAGGAAATTTCCGCCTGTTGACACATTTTCGCACGAATCTTGAAGATGCGGATTGCTGTGAAGTCTTGGCATTACCAATGGGTTCGAAATTTGACGTTATGTTATCATCAGCAAAGAAAACTTCGCAGTTTTCGATCACCGTCCACGATGTGGGCAAAAAGAAAACGCGTGGGCATTTTTTTATACAATTAGCTTGAGTCAAGAAGTGAAATAAAAAAGGAATCTTTTGCTTTGTTTCGCTCTGGAATTGGTTTTCCGTCATGTTCTTCCTCTCCAGCTTCGAACAAAAGGCACGGTATTTAAAACTGCCCTACAGACAACACGAAAAAAGATGAAAAAGAAAACGAGGAGTCATCACTGATGTTCTCACACGAAATAAAATCCAATAAATTCCGCTTCACTCCGCAGTCCCAGCTGTACGATCTCCATGGTACATTCGTCTCCGAACCCTTCTCATCTAATCAGCAGCAGATCACGAACCCTCTTCCGGGAGAGCAGAAGAACAATGCAATGTCAATCATAGAATTCAAGAGAAGTCACAGAGCTGGTCACGCAAGAGAAAAAAAGAAACAAAAAACACATCAAGAAATACGCCCACAATGCCGCGTTCCATCAACACAAAGAAGAAACTCTTCATAACACGCTTCAAGAAAAATGGCACGCGAAAAGCGGGAGGAAGAAATGTCAACACCCGTTCAACTGGCAATAACGCATCTCAAATAAATGATTCCAAGTTCACCGACCAGTGCAGCCACTTGAAAGAAGAAAAAAACTAGCCACTTGATCATCTCTTCTTCGAAGTTCTGATTCAGTTGAGGAATAGGGAATTCAGATTCGGGACACTTCAGCCTGATACTTATTTTTAATCGAAGTTTCCGAAAATCGATCATTTCATCGTGGCTTCAAGCACAGTTCGTGTTGAAGAGTTCATTCGCTATTTCTTCACATACGAGATAGATTGACAGCACAAGAATCAACTAAAAATTCTGAAAATGCTTGGCGCAGGAGTACAGGATCTTCCTCTGTCCTCAGCACCATGGCTAACCTGGTCCGTAAAACAAGAGAACGATCCAAAACGAAGCGTGGGGGAATGTTTTTGCGAAGTCTTCAGGAAACTTCAATTGGCACAATTCAAACGCGCACAAAAAAACTCAAGAAGTGTCTCACGGAGGAAGTGTTCGGACGCGCACAACACGAATTCCACACCGCAAAAAAAGGAACAATCAACACGGCAATAGACGCAATATCATAACGAACACCAATTTTTCATAACACGCGATTGTTTCCCCAACCCGGTTCTATTTTCTTGTCAAACGAAATCTCACCATTTTTCCGAAAGAACCTTTTTTTTTTCCTTCGACTTCCGAGCAGGAACGAAGCGGTAGTACCGCAAAAACCCCCTCAAAACTTTTTTTTTCAGTTGTGCCACATGATAAAAGTTGTTTCCCAATTTTTTCAGCTCGCAAGCGAAATAAAATTTAAGCAAGTGCACCGCGTTAGCGTCACGAAAGACAAGCGGAGTGAAAGATCTCTCATCTCACCATCGTGTGCAGAAGAGCCCTGGCCTTTTGACTCAGAGCCCTTGATTATGCATGATTCTGCTTTCCGAACAAGCATTAAAATTCCGACAGATGAACGCTGCGCTCCAAAAAAATAATAATACAGCACCAACAATGATTCCGTACCTCATTCATTTTAAAAGGTTGAAGGAAAATCCCAAACGTTGCTCATGTGCAGCTCAGAAAAAACCCACGTACCGTCTTTCCAGGTAAAATCCATGCAATAGAAGATAAGACGTTCATTGACCGATCACCACAAAGAGAATTTCTGCACGAAGTCGCTTCGAAAATAATGTTCATCGCAATTCCTAATCCCAGACTAGCATCGAGGTATTATACAATGAATTGCTCTTTGTCCGCCACGACGCCATGGATAAGAAGAACCCGACTGGCCTTTCTCTCCTACAAATACCCTTCGAGAAGGGAATTCCAGCAACTCACGCGAAGCTCAATAATTCAAAACACAAAAAAAGAACGTAATGATCCGAAATTGGCGAGGAATGCTTCGTTAAATTCCTTCAATCGACCGAGGAAAAATACTGCCCCGCTATCCAATCAAATTCTTGTCCGCCAAAATTCTTTTCTACACACAAAGTCTTGCGCGCATATAAAAATACTTCAACTCTCGAGGGAGGGGGGGGGGGGGATCTTCTCACGATTGATTCCTTAAATAAGCACGAGCACACCCGTCCACGCATCGCACTTCGAAACCGAAAAGCCATCGGATCCTCATCACAAAAAAAAAAAAGAAAAAAAACATCGTCAGAAACCCCCTTCGGACACAAAATGGGGGGAAGAAATCAGCAGAACAACCTCGAATTGATGTTATTTTGCTTCACCACCGAAAGGGAACGCTAAGGAATCACAGAGCCTTTAGACTGCCACTCAAAACTCCCGAAGTCGCCTTGCCATATTCTATCTAAACACCAACTTTCCCACTTAGTGCTTCACAACACAAACTTGCAAAAGTTTTCCACGCAGGTGTAGGCAGGTCGGTGGAGTTGTTCATGTGGTGTCAGGGAACGTGGCCTCGCCATCACAGTTTCGACGCGTCGTAGTTCTCGAAATTCCATTTGTGCCGCTCGTTCGTTCCGTCGCAGACTTCCATGATGATTTTAGACTTGTCTGTCGGAATGGCCAAGCATTTCTTCGAACTACCGTGCACGATCATTTTTGTCTGCGGAAAACATATTTCCGATTAATAAAAGAATGCGAACAAGACATTAGGACCAAGACGAGAAAAGCACGCTCTTCCTCTTGAAAATCGAGCACTGTACGTGAAAACTTCGGCAACCGAACTTCCGAAGTATGAATATGATCGACAAGCTGAGCGCATCACAGAAAAGCACAAATTTTATTTCAAAGAAACGCTCACTAGGAAAAAGGCGAAGATCACAAACATCACTTAGTGATGTTTGTGATGCACACTAAAATTTAATTTATCGTTATTTATGGATAATGCAGTTTACAGAGAAGATTTTCCTTCCGGAGATATTTTAGCGACGGTCAGGACATCCGCGAAGTGAGAAACTTAACTTCGGGTCCTTCCATGTAGGAAATTCTCACGGGGCAAGAAACCAATTCGCGATTTTAGCAAGTTTTTCTAGAATCTAGATACAAGGTGATGAATATTTTCCACTGCAAGCTTCTTAAAACGATATAGCTAAGTTTCATCCAACAGAAATGCCATTTGAAGGCGATTCTCAAGACTTTTTTCGAAATATCATGACAGGCATCAGCGATGAAGGACACGTTCAACTCACTTCAGGGTCATATTTCCACAGCTGGTTGCCCTTAGACCCATGGCAAGGATACAAAATAACATCCTGTCCAGCATAATCCAGACAAGCTTCGTCTCTCCTGATTTCCCCTTCCTTGCTGAGCATCCAGAACTGGTTACCACCTTGGCGATGGCACGGATATGTTCCGACGGGCTTGTGTAAATGTTTCCTGCCGCCGGGAGAATCAAGGCATGTTCCTCCTCCTGCTCCAAGATTCCTCACTTCTCCTGACGCGATGGCCTCTCCCGGAATGAAAAGCTCCGGATAGATGTTGTTCAAGTACCACTTGAAGGATTTGCACTTCAGTCGTTCCCGCAGTTTTTTCCGGGATGATATGTCACCGAAGTCACCCTATGTGAAGGAAAAATAAATCCAGGATCATTCCACAGGCACCAGATGTGAATCATAAATATTCTACGTAGAGCTACATTTCGTCAACTCAACAGGACCACATCTTTGAAAAAATTAAATTTCCGCATTTATTCGAATATAGGCGGCACTATCCTCAACAACAAAAATCGCGCTGTCAATGGCCGAGACTAGAAGTTGCGTTTTATTCTTGACAGTAAGCGGTGAGAAAAATATAGTGAGGGCGAACAAAAATGTTGACATGCGATAAACAAGGAGGAAACATTTTCTAGTGTAATTTTCTTAAGCAAGATTAAAATGTGCATGCATTTACAACCAAGTCCTTGTTCTTCATTCTAATTAGAATTTTTGGGACGGTTCGCATACATCACGAAATGCCACTTCATGCGTGCATTGACAGCACCTCAATTTTTTGCGGCCAACACTAATTTTCATCTGAAATTTGCCAACAGGACTCATGTCAAGTCCATACATACTTACTATAGGCAAAGAATCACGTAGCAACAGTTTAGACTGCGTTACAAAGGATAAAATAATATTTCGCAGTACTAAAGTACTCTGCCCGAGACGGGAACAGGAACGTACCAAGTCTGAGCCGATTCTCTGGTAATAATATTGCTTGTATTCATCCAACCAGACCTCAGCTAACCGGATCGAGTTCCTTCGAAGTACATTAACTCCAGTACGCCATTTGTACGGGGATCGTTTCCTGAAGATATGGCCAACATGCGAGCAAGGTACGATTTCCAAAGTACCACCACACATCCAAGTCTGTACAACACAAGGAGGCCAATATATTAATATCACGTTCATCCGATTCTTACCGCCAGACGTACCTTGAAAGATAATTCGAGGTTTTCCCCGCCCCATATATCGAAGCCTTCGTCGTACGTTCCAAGCTTTTCGAAGAACTCTTTATCGATCGAAAATAATCCACCAGCCATTGTAGGAGACCAAACTGGGTCAGCTGGATTGTCATGCCGTTTGCGTTCATGATCTGGCACTGCGTGCCAATTGAACTGGAAAAAAAACACATCGACAGTTTTAATCACATGCCGGAAAACAAAATTATTTTCCGTAATCTCAAGAGGCGAATCGAACGAATATTCTCAGATATTGTAATCTGTAGGACGTCTCAGCAACTTCTATATCACTTCGTGTAAGACTTAGACACAGAATCAAAATGATGACGAATTTCTGGGGGGAAAAGAAACGGTTAAAAATGGCACCTCTAAATGTGTCTCCCAGATTTCGGACACTCATTTCTAAAACGCCAGTCATTTTAGCACAGAAATGTACACAACTGTACTATACTCCAAGAAATACAGGAAAGTTATTCCAGCCACGGGCTACGGCTTTCGCCTTTCGATGGTCTCAAAATTACCTCATTAAATAAAAAAAACGTACCTGAAGGTTCCAGTCGAATCCACCAACATTAACAGTATCTTGCGCTTTACCCATGTATTCGAAATTCTCATCCGAGATCACATCAATAACTGGGCACACAACCGTGGTGGGATCTTTAGCAATACGATCCATCAAAGGTTCCAGCCAACCTGCGAAAAACAAGTTTCATTCATAAGAATGAGAATGAAATTGATGCTGATGTTGGAAGATTGGAAAATACACCCCAAGCACACTAATGAGCTGGCCAATAGGGCAAACAAAATTTCGTCTTACCCTCGGTACATTCGCAATGAGAATCGAGGTACGTCAGAACCGGTGCTGTTGCAATTCGTGCGCCAGCTAAACGCGCTCGGATCAATCCTTCGCGTTTCTCGAGTCGCAGAATTTTCACTTTCGGATATTGAGCCATGTAGTCATCCAACTGTTTCTTGGTATGCTCTGCAACAAACATAAATAAACAAAAATTATGAATGTCACCGCGGAAGAACAAAATTACCACCAATTACTACTAGCACAGTTTCCAAGCGAAACACAATACTTGTCAACGATGTATGACAGACAAGATTCGAAGAAAAAACACTCCTCCAATTCGGACAGACGGCACGCAAACGTAATACAGTACTGTTTAATCACATCATACTCACCCATATCGGAGAAATCATCGACTAATATGATTTCTTTGATCAAATTTGACGGAGACCGATCGAGGATGGAATGAACAGTCCTAAGCAGAACAGACCAGGCTTCGTTATGGAAACAAACGATGACACTAGTCGCCGGGAGATTTTCCGCATAACGCCCAGGTTCCTTGCACCTGGAAAAGTAGAAAGAAATCATCATGGGACGCATTAGAAACAGTTTTTACAGAAAATCGCAGCGTACTTTCCGGAAGAATGCGCCTCAAACATTGAAACATGATAAAAACTTTTACTCGGAAAACATTGGCAAAACTGCATATTGTAATTTTTTTCTTTCAATTCAGCCTTTCATCGTTAAATCAAATATAACGCGAATCATGCGATAATAAACGTGAATAAAAAGTTGTTTATAAATAATCACGAAATTCGTGTCAAAAGAAAGTAACTTTCGCATCATCCGAACGAGAAATTTTTCGGCGAAACTTACTTTTCTATCCGTACATCGGGCAAGCTCCTGTGTACAGAAATCATGTCCGATGCGTACTGATTGAATGCATTCTTCTGAAATCCGTCATCAAACTTCTTCCTTTCCACAGGATCCATTTGCTCTTTCGGCGGCAGTTTGACCGCCTTCCCCATCTCCCCGGGACCGTCGGGAGGACCAGGCGGCGCAATGACGCCCTGACCCGAATCATCTCCGTTCTTTGGCTTCTTCTCGGACGTTTTCGCCACAGGAGGTTGCTGAATCATGTTCTCCTCAACATTCACAACGTGAAGTTTGGGCCCACTGCCTCCGGAACCGCCAGAGTTATCCACCGGGACGTTGTTGAGATGCAGTCCACCAATGTTACTTTGGACATCCGATCGAACTTCGTGGCCGTCCGAGCTGTACAGCAGCACGATGCTGAGCAGCCAGGCAACGGGAGCCAAAATTAGCAACTTGACGATCAACGATCGCCGTCTATAAAGAATTCTCATGGCCGCCAGGTTGTGAACGAATCAAAGCCCTCTCGGGACACCGATTATGCCACGCAAGTTGCACGTGTTTGGAGATCAAGAACCATCAATTATCACTGCTTCATCACACGTTTCTTCTGGGAATCGGAAATTTGCTGATGTCTTCCGTACGCAGGCTTATCAGCTTCCCGGGTACCTTCTGTTCAGATCTTAAGAGTCGACTGGAATGACAGGAGCCAATTGACCAACCTATAAACAAAAGGAAGACAAAGATACGTATCAGTGGGAGATACTATACTACAATACTTCGATCAAGAAACAGATAGATCCCATTATGCAAAACGAACGTGCACAAAATGCGAGTCAAGAAAAATATTTGCAGTGCGAATGCGTGCGGTTCAAGTAAGCGAATCGTATTTCTCTGAAAACAAAAGTTCCCCAAAAACAAAGGTTAGTTAAGTAAAAGTGCTTGTACACTTTTTCTTGTGGGAGATGTTAGTTTGCAGCTCTCAGATAATCTCCCAAAAAAAAAACTCACGAGAGGAGTTAAAAACCCCGGTATACATGCTGATCTTCATCCTCGAAGATACTTCAGAGCGAAGAATTGCTCTTCCAAGGAGATGCTATATTTCAGGCACTTCCTAAATCAACCGGGACTTGAAATTTGATGGAAACAACAGGGATTTAAAAGTTCGAAGATTTTTTTTTCTTCAGAAACAAATTGATCCATTTCGTACAACGGAATGCAATTTCTCTACAACCGGACAATGTTTCCAAGATCACGAGAAAATGAAGATCGCGCACAGAATATAGCTTCATAAAATTAAGAACAGCACACTTAGTAGCATAATGAAGCTGGCAACACGAAAAAGGGAATGAAAAAAAATGTTGTCGACATACGCGAACGAATGCAAGAGTCGTAACTTCCTTCCACTCAGCCAAATTTTGGAAACTAGCACGCGCACAATGGTTTACTCGGAGAAGCAAAACAAGAAAATAGGATTGATCACAGCTTCGACGGGTCGTATCGCTCGAATTTCCAGCGCTGTCTTCGATTCGAAGGATCGCAAATTTCCATCACAAGATGAGTTTTTTCCACGTTTATTGCCAGACATTTGAAATGATGCTTGTGTTTGATCAAGTGGTTCTAAACGGTTAGGATATATCGATTAAAAATATACGCAATTTTGTCTTGTTCTCTCAGATCACCGTTAATATAAGACGCACTTTTCTGGCATATGATTAACAAGAGCAACAGGGCACGTTTTTGTTTGCATGCGAAATGCGAGCCCAAATGAGAGCAAACATTTTTCAAATTTACGATTGAGAATCCATTATCTTCCTACACCTGAATATAATAAATATGAGCTATAAACGAAATACAGAGAACTGGTAATTAAAAATGCGAATGTCGGGTAAACCCTGATAATATAACGGTAGTTACAACATTTCATGACGCGGTTCCTTATTGCTTGCACAGTTAATATTAAATTGCATTGACAAAATCAATCCAAATCGTTATTAGTACTGTACTTCATCATCGTAATTCTCTCAGTTTCAGGAAATACCGTCATTAAATAATTAATGCCCTTTCCGATCAAAACTAGCCTGAACATTTCCAGAATATTGTTAAGCAATATTTTCATCTCGTTGAAAGGGCGGAATAATGTACAACCGGTGGGGACTTGTTTTTGAACACATGAATTCGCGAGCTCTCATTTCACTAATTTGCTACTGTCCAACAATTATGTTTTAAATTTCTATGTTAAGTCAATGTTTTGACCATGAAACGTGGAAAAAGTGACTTAGAAACTTCAGAAAATAATTTCACTGGTGAGGATGACATAAAATCAGAGAATGTCGGAGAAAACCATTCATTAATTTGATAAGAGAAGGCCGACATGACCTGGATGAGTGATAGATGAGCTATTTCAATTACGAAGAAATTAGGGAATGCGTCGTATATTAGCGTAGATTCAATATTTCAATCCCGAACGCTATTAGAAGTCCAAAATGGGTAATTACGTGAGGGTTATAGCTCCAATTTTGATTCCCGCCACCACCGTGACACTGATAGAGCATCACATTTTGTCCAGCGTAGTCCAAACAAAATTCGTCTCTACGGATTTCACCAGCTCGGGTATGAAACCAATATTGATTGCCACCCTGCCGGTGGCAAGGATACACTCCGACAGAAGCATGCAAATTGGTTTTCTTCGCCGGCGAATCCATACAGAACACGTGTCCATACGCCATATTACGAACTTCGCCTCGCGCAACTGCTTCCGAAGGCACAAACATTTCTGGATACACGTTTGTTAGATACCACTTGAACGATTTGCACTTCAGGCGTCGTCGCAATTCTTTCCGAGAAGACAAGTCACCGGCATCAGTGTTCTGCTCCCGGGTGAGTCAGTTAATTTTTTAAGATAACATATCGAGACTTTTAAAGTTATCAACTAACCTTCTCATCGCCTATGCGATCGTAATAGAAAGTTTTGTACTCATCCAACCAAACTTCCGCCAAGCGGATCGTGTTCTTCCGCATCACGTTTCGGCCGTATGGCCAAGTTAGAGGAGACCGATGCCTGAAGATGTGCCCTACTCGAGAGCAGGGCATCGTTTCCAGGGTACCGCCGCACATCCAAGTCTGAACAAGCCCATTGGTCAGTTAACTTCAAGAACGCGCATCACCATTATTTCCGTCTTTACTCAGATATAATCCGGGTTTTTTAATGGCACAAAAATTAGAGATGCTCGATAGCGTCTTGTATTTGCAGGTGAACGCCATGACGGCCCAACATTAACACAATCTTTCAAAAAAGATTCAATTCTAAAATTAAGCCGAGGTGCAAAACCATGTCAGAATCTTACTTTCTTCTTGAGGTTTTCGCGGATATTAAGCTATTAGCCTGAGCATTGGCAGATTCACCAAACATTATTTTGAAAATTTTCAAGAAATGCTATGAATTGGAATCGCGGCTTAAATGTATCCACTTCAGATAGTTCAGAAGCATAAAAAATGCGAATTATATATGAGTAAATTCGGGCAATTCACTTGCCTTGAATGATAATTCAAGGTTTTCTCCACCCCAGAAATCCATAGCTTCGTCATACGTTCCCAGATGCTCAAAAAACTTTTTATCAATGGCGAAGAGACCGCCAGCCATTGTAGGACTGGGTACTGGTTGAATCGGACTTGCCAGGGTTTTCTGGACACGTTCAGGTAAAGTGTGCCAATCAAACTAGACAAGCGGAAGATATGTTCAACGTATGATCGAAAATAGAACGCTGATTCGTAAGCATAATTACAATTAAGCTCCAGTCAAATCCACCGACGCTAATTGGATCACTCGACTTCCCGCGATACTCAAATGTATCATCCGAAATAATGTCGATGATGGGGACCACCACGTTGCTCCAGTTCTGCGAAATTCTAAAAAGTAATGGCTCCATCCAACCTAAATTGAACATTCGAAAACGAACGACGATCGGATGTGAAGAGATTCAATTGAAAAAAAAACCTTCGGTTGTTTCAATGTGAGAATCCAGATATACGAGAACTGAACCCCGTGCTACGCGGCCACCAGCTAATCTCGCTCTAATAAGACCTTCACGTCTTCGCAAGCGAACAATTTTGACTTTCGGAAATCTTTCCATGTAGGAATCCAATGGTTCTTTCAAGTGATCTGTTCAAATTTGGAAATGATCAAATCATTCCATAGGACGACAGTTCGTGAAAAATTTATACCCCTTTCGGAAAAGTCATCAACCAAAAGAATTTCTTGCAATAAATGCTCTGGTGTTCGGTCAAGGATCGAGTGTACAGATCGCAACAACGTCGACCACGCTTCATTGTTGAAACAAAGTATGACGCTAGCCTTCGGAAGTCTTTTGGGGTATACAAGCTTCTTACATCTGCAGAACGAAAACATCGTGCATATATAGTCCTCGTGCTCTTCAACAGCTGAAAACAAAGGACCGTACAGTACAGCAATTCAGAATGCAGGCAATTATCATACTTAATCATGTCGAAAACGAATACTGTATGCATATCGGGACTGAGCAGCCGCGACGGAAACACATAACCTCGGCTCCGAAAACAGGACATAGTTATGCAATCAGGGATCGAACAGGTACGATAACTTCACTTTGACTCACCCATTCAATGCCCGAGTCTCGCACCACAGGGTTCATGAAATGCGGAATGTAACATTTTCCGCACTTAAAGAACTGCCTAATCCGTATTCCGTTGCTTCCCCTCATTCTGTTTTGCTTCTTATGCTCAAACCAGAAACAGAATCGGGATCACAACCACACAACAGTACTAGCCACAACTAGGTCCGAAACAGAAACAAATTCGGATAATTCGAACCCAATTACGGTACATGAAGTGAGACTGTTGAACGTTCACAAGAAGCTTCGGGGAAACGTGTGACTAATCCCGATCGCGTGATTACCGCAAATTCAACAGCACTTCTCCGAACACCTCTGCTGAATATACTTCAACACTAAAAATTCTGGGAACTATCACGAATTGATTCTGACGTCGAGGTAAATGACAACGAGCTTACACTGTCGGAAGCTGCAGAGTGCAAACCCCGTCACCTCGCCGTCAGGAAAACTTCATTTACCAGCGCGCGGCCACGTTCCTTTCACAGAGCCCAATTTTAAATTGTCATAGAACTCCGGGTCAGAGAGGGCCAACAAACCTTTCTGTAAGCCAACATGTTCTTAAAGTACAGTACTCACATGTACCGCATATTTTTGAAGTCAGCGGCGTCAGTGCTACAAAAAAGCCTACTCGAAGATTAATTCAGCCTAAGTACTGACTGTCGATTCAATTGAGGTAAACCTCATTCAATGACCGAAACCTGGTTTCGAATGTAAAAATAGAATTCTGATGCGACAGCTTTTATGACAGATCCTCACTCGTATACTGAGTCGATTATTGCTTTTTATAACTGCATTTCTCAGTATCTTGACTGTTATAACTTTTTCGCATTATTGGTTCAATTTCCCTAATGCAACAAGTCGGAACATTTTTATACCCCAGTAAGGCGCACCCGAATTCTTGAAATGATTCCCAGAAAAAAGGTGCATCTGGTACTTCTGACGGGTAATTATGGTATTTCCTCAGAGAAATTTGTTCCGAATTTGAAGGCCTCCAATGCATGGGAAAGATTTCATTTTTCCAGGGACTTTCGACTCAACGACTTTTTACCAATACGAGTTTTTCTCCATGTCTCCTGCACGACATGCTGGTTTTACTGCAAGACAGTACAACGGATTTCGACAACCTGTATCGTCACATGGACTCTTGATGCACAACGAAATTCATCAGGGGACCAGAAAATTTTCGTTGTAGAGAACCTCCGTGGGGCCACATTAAAATTTGTCATTCAGAGATAAAATCGTCGTAGACGAACTCGTCTACTGTACATAGGATACCGCCAGGATATCACGAGGGGAATATACGTAACGGTATACTGTATATACTGTACAATAAGGGCGACCCGTTGTATGGACGCCGCAATCTACGGACAATTCGACTTAGGCATACTTAAAACTCAAAAAATCTTCCCGGCATCTGGACAATGTCTCGAACTACGGACACCGTTTCCAACATTTCTCGAATAGCAGAAAGACTTTTTTTTCAAAATCAGGCATCTCTTGCAAAAATTGAGCTATTTCGATTTACAAAACTTTGAAACCACGCTTACAATTGATCCAAAAAAACGATTTCTATTTGAGTTTTGCCATCATCTGTGCACAGTAGAGCCAGATTTGCTCTTGTTCTTTGCTTCTTATGTTGCATTTCATGCCAAAAGATCAGATTCTGAGTGGTTTCCATTCTGCACAGTTATTTTCTGTATCTCGCAATTGAGAAAAATAATGTGCATTGCATTATTTGGGGGACTTATTGCTAATTTTTATAAATTGGAGAACCAATTGAATAAGTTCCCATTGCTGATGTCTATGGAGAAACGTGATCTGACATGCGGACATTCCAACATAGGGACAATTACGTCTACATCTTGAGTGTCCCAATATCGAAATGTCCGTTATTTGAGTCACGTTTTCCTCTAGGCTTGACTTTTAGAATTTTTAATCCGCGTTTCGCTGAAGAAATATTCCTTATAATTCCATGAAAAAAAGAAGTTGCCTGCCAATGTGACAATTGAGAATTGAATGATTCACTCTCTATATCTTTCAACTCAATAAGAACATTTCGAGAACATTAGCAATGTGGATGTGAAAATTATGACAGCATTGCTAACGAATTTGTCTTAAATAGAACCTTACCCTTAATCTACGGGTTGAAAATATCTGTTTTTGTCATTCCTTTTGAGGAATATAGCTTTTTTTCTAATTTGGCTATTTTAGCCTACATCAGTGTCTACATGTCGAGTAAGTGTCTGCATGCCGGGTCTATTTCAAAAATAAGTGCCCGTAAGTCGAATCCCCAGCATGTCGCTGTGTCCGCATCTTGGGGGGCCCGCACTGTATTTTTACTACGGTATTGTGTATATGGTCGTGTCTTACGCTTCGTGCCGAACGTCCGGCAACGTCCGCCGGACAGATATCATGTCCGAGACGAACAAATTGAACCCGTTCTGCTGCCATCCCTTCTCCACCTGGAGCCGCATCTCCAGGGGCATGGATTCATTCGACGGCAACGTCACCGGGGACCCCATCTCTCCGGGGTGTTCCAACATTTCCGGCGGCGCCAGGTTCCCCTCGCCGCCGTCTTCATCCGGGCCGCCCTCTTTCCGCCTCCGCAATCTTCTCGCAGCCGCCAAGACCGCCACCGGCTTCTTATTCTCATCATCGCCATCTTCCAGCAGTAGCACAGGCGATTCTGCTGCTGCCCCTGCTGAATCCCCGTAGGGATTAACTCGCTGGTAATCCGGCTTCGGGAAACGTTGCAACTCCTTGGCACCATCGAAGAGGCTGTCCATGGTGCGCGGCATCTGATGCTGCTCCTGCTGCTGGTCCAGTTCCTCCGGGTAGTTTTGGATCACGTTCTCCGGGGAGATGAGGGTGATCAGGAGCCAGATGAGTGCGGATATGCTGAGGAATTGGATGCAGGAGCAGAGGCGCAAATGGCGGCGAACGCGACGCGAGAACATGGAGACGGAGAACCCGCCGGACAGGGACTGATATTGGGTCTTTTTGGGCCAGGTTTTCTGATGGTCTTTGGCGTGCGACGCACTGTTTTGCAGCGATTGAAACTTGCCACTCATCCCGGAGCGCAAACCGCCGAGCATAATATTTAATAACGACCTAAAAAATTAATCTCAGACGAATCCGAGAAGATGTGATCCGCAATGGATTGGAATGAGAAACTCATCATTCAGGATTATGTATCTTTCACACAGAGAGGGAACAATTCGAGGAATATAGGCTTTGAATTAAGTGCAAGAAACCCTTCATATCTTCATAAGCAGAACATTTTCCCATCGAAAGGATTTTGTGAAAAAAAATAATAAGTGTGGACCGTTACGCAAATAAGGGACTGACAATGTTTAAACGGTTATCAATTTTTCACCTTCGACGGGTCAAAATATGTGACAAAAACTTGGATAAATTCTCACGAAAACCTGAAATATCACTCCTGCGAAGATTTGCGTGGCTGTCTCTTGAGTCTTGACAAATTCGTTTTTAATGACGGGTAACTGTATCATTACATTACGAAGCTCATAAACAAGTGCAGCAGAGACATGGCCGGATTAAACCACATTTTGGCCTGATGCTGCAAAAAAAAAATGGGCCTGATATTCCTTTGCAAAAATGAATTTTCCTCACACAATTGAAAATGTAATTTGTAGCAAACAATGGATATCTCAGGCTAGAATTCCATCACACAAAGATATGGTAAAATTCTGACTCAATGAATATCATTACAATACACTTTTCTTATAATGCATTTTTCTTGGTCCAGGCAGTTTCTCCATAGGCACCATGTTATGGATATCATTTTAATGAACTCATTTAGGCTGTTGTCTAATAATAACAAAATGTTGGGCTTGATTCTGTGCATAGACTATAGCAATAATTTCATAAATGGTGGAAGGAATAAAAAAAATGAAAAGGTGCAGCATTTCAATTTCTTGAAAGGCTAAAGATTTTTGTAGAGAAGGTTTGGTGTTCAAAAGATGTACATCACATATTTTTTTGGAAATTCTTTAGCTACATTCCGAATTGTATGCCTTTCTTTCAAGAAAACAGTCTCCTAGAAGATATGCTCCTCTGTTTGAAGGAGCATCAGACAGGTATGAGAAAAAAAGTTGATTTGCATACATGGCATTTACCAAAACACTCAAAGTGACTCTTTCAAAGCTTTGGATTATGCTTCTACAAAATTCACATTTCAAAAGAATATAACAAATTATAAACCTGAGTTATTAGCCCACAGGCTGTTTTTGTGTTCAAATATTAAAGATAGTGTATGAACCCCCCACTTAACATTGTTACAACACTTATTACTTGAATTACTCAAAAGTGAAAATGCCCCACCTTCCCTTCATTAAACATTTATTAACAGTGGCATAAATCCAAAAACAATGTGAAAATGTATCTAAATTACAAATTTCCAAGTATATGCTCCAACATAAAACTCAGTGCATTTGAGAATAATTTGAATTGTTTGGTTAGGATAGGAATGGGCACAAAAATATCAGTTGTTCAACTCATGGCACCAATGATGTACATATCCTAAGAAATTCATGATGATGAAGTATTTGTATTTGTTAAAAACAGAAATTTCTCATTATAATTTCAACATGTATTGCATGTCAAAATTGCATCCACTTATTCCATTTATTAAAAAAGCCACCAAATTTTAACCCATGCTGTGTGGATTACTTGGAATATTCAAAAAAATGTGGTGCCCATCCCATGAGCACTTGAAAAAAAATTGCATTTCTGAATGAATGCTCAAGTGAGGAAAAAGTTCAATACAATAATTTATTCCAATCCTGCCAAAAAGTTTGATTAAGATTTAGAAATTGTCTTAAATTTTTACAGTGTCATCATGGAAAAAAAAAACTTGCAGTCTTCACATTGGGATGTAGTGAGAGGCTCCACAAAAAAGCAAAGAGAAATAACATTCAGCAACTTGGAAATATCTTGATTACCTCCAAAATGTTTATATAGACTATATAGAGCAATGGACAATCTAGAAAATACATATTGAAACTGTCAATTTTCTTAATGTATTAAAATCTGGCAAGAATTCAAGATGAAGACATATTTTCCCACTACAAAATACATGAGATATGTAAAGAATATCAATCTCAGTTTGCCACACTCCTGCTACTAGAATTCCTCATAGAAAATATGGCTTGGACAAGATACCCTTGGCCTGGTGTACAGTAGAAAATTACAGGGGGATATATTCCTGTTTCCCAGGATGCAAGGTGAAAAAGGTTTTTTTTAGGGGTGTGTTCAAAAAGAATCTGCATTGCAAAAAAGGGACATTTGGATTTATGGAACCCAGAACAATGACAAAGGGGGAGGGGGATAAGGAGGCACCGCAAGGAATGAATTAAATAAAATTAATTTTCTAAATCACACTTGTTTATAAATCACTGATTTTTCAGAAATAAAATATTGTAATTTTCAAACACCATAAAAACGTCTTCAGAAGATTTTTGAAGCCATCACAGACTTTTGAAGTGGGGACAGGACTCACAGGAGAGACACTTCTATACCACCACCAGGGCATGACTGGAATTGAAATCTTTGACTGGATTTTTCCTTCCTATGATGTCTGTGACTCTGCATTTTCTGTTTTTGATAATAGGCCTGGATATATTTTTAATACAGAAAGGATTGTGTTCTCTCAACCAAGAACATATCCATGATTTGGTTTCCTGTTAAAGGGTTTCTATGTGCATGCACATAGAAACCAATTTAATTCAAGCACACTGCAGTGTGCTTAAATTGATTTAGTGATGCATAATTTTTAAAATCTTCAATACTTTTTCTCTTTTCTACTTCTGCAAACTTTTCATACTCTCTCAAAAGTTTGAATTCCTTAGCTTGCAGAATTTTTAATTTGAAATTCACCAACTTGAGAAATTTCATTTTTGAATTCTCAGGGGGCCTATTTGCCTGGTGGCAGTGGCGGCCTTAGGGTGGGGCAAGAGGGGCGGCTGCCCCAGGCCCCACGCTTGAGGGGGCCCCGCACTTGAGGAGGGCTCCGCTGTCTGGTGGTTCTGAAAATTGGCTGTCCCCTTAAATTTTTTTTTAACTTGCCTTGAACCTGGAAGGAGTGGGCCCCTTCCAAAAGGATAAGTTTATTTTCAACTCTTGACAAAGTTTCCCACCAAGTGATCTGATCTATAAGTGCAGCACAACAAAGCCAAAAATGCATTCAGAAGAATATTGGCATAGGAGCTTTCCTTCTGCATATACATTTTTCAATCTTCAGTGAAATTTCTGTTGAAGATAAATGCATTTTCACATTTTATAAGGTCTTGTTGAGTCCTTATCAATAAGATTTAAAAAAGAAACAATGCATCTTGAATTTTGATTCACTACCATTAAATAATTTCAATCCTCAATGT